GTCTGGGTGTCAGAGTCCACTGTACAAGTTCTGACTTCTAGCGTCCCCAGAATCTAGATGGAGAGAATCTGATAGCTCTGGGCTCCCTCCGCACCTGCCCACCCCCCAGCCTCCTCTCAGTGCACACACTTAGTGAGCCGTTCTGTCCACATGGACTATTGTCGAATGTCTTGGCGCCTGCCCCGCCCCGCCCCTATGGTCCTGAGTCAAACCCTAAGAAGTGGCCGGAGCTTGGAGTACGGGGAGGAACCAGGCTTGTGAAAGCTCTCTGACTCGTTTCTGTGACGCGGCTGGGGGTGGGAGCGGAAGGCACCCACTGATTCGTTTTAACTAGTTACTGGGTGCTCACTGTTGGTTCTCAGGGCCGACACCCGGCGCGCGGGGTTGCCCCCAACGTTGGGGTGTGAGGAAACCCCAAACTCCATCCTCTGCCCCTGGGCTGGTGTGGGCAGGGGCGCCTGGACCAAGGTGCAGCATTTGCCCTGGAATGCGGGCAAACCGGCCCCTCAGCCCCCTCGTGTGCCTGCATCTTGACATCTTAACCCCCTCCGGGCCACGGTCTTAGAGGCCTCAGCAGGCCCTAAGGATTCCTCAAGACTGGCTGCTGGGGCTGGGGAGGGAACTGTTCGTCTGGGCCTGGCCCGGGTGCACCAAGCCCGCCTGCGGAGGGGGCGGTGGAGGCCGATGGCGCGATTCCTCCCGGTCCCTGGAGCAGGCCCTGCGGCCCGCGCGCTGCGTCACTCTTGGGTCTCGCGTTCCAGTGATAGAGTGTTGTGGCAGGGCCCCGTGGGCTTAGCATCCAGGCCTCCCTGCGCTCCTCCTGGTAGCCTGCGCCTTTCCTCCAGCTCAGTCGAGCTTTCTCGGCCTTGAAACTTCTCTAGTGCGCCCATAGCCAGGGGGCTTCCCGGTCTTTGCTGGCTCGAAAAATTCTGTGATTGCAGGGGTTACCTTCGGTTACTCCCGGCGGCAGGAAGCTTGCGGCCCAATGGCGCCCCCTGGTGGCCAGAAGCGGCCGCTCTCACCCCTTCTTCACCAGGGCTTGGTGACCTTTGCCCCTGGCCACCTAGACACTTTGCACCCAGCCTGCCTCCCACCTCCTCCAATCACACACATGTGGGCTGGTCCTGTATAATGACCTTGACTTTCCTTTTGCTGCGGATGGCAAAAAAAAAGAGATAGGAAAAAAGATGTGGGAAGCCCCAGGGCAAGCTCCCCCCCCCCCTATAGGGGTGGGGGGATGGGGACTTGACTGACCCTGGCAGCTCTGACATGTCCTGAGGGACTCAGGCCTGGACTCAGAATCTTCGGGAAGTGGGGGCCCTTCTCAAGCCTGAATTGAGGGAGCCGCGACCCCTTTTAGGCAGGTATCTGAACTGTGCCCCTGAACATGCTAGAAGGGGAGCATGTGTTTGTGGTCTTGCAGCGCTCAAGTGGGTACCGTATTCTCTGGAGGTGGGCTGCCCAGTGCCTTCCGTGGAGTACAAGAAGGAATTTCTGGGCCTGCCCTGAGGGTGTTTAGAGCTGGGTGCAAGGGGGTGTATGTAGCTTAAAACTGGGAGACCCTTCACCTCTGGCCTGGGGCTCTGCCTGCAAGTGTGTACCTTCATGCAGCCTAGGTCTGCTAGCTCTGTTTACTCAGCCAGGGGAGGAGTTCACCTCGCTTCCAAGGAGACTTTGGCCGGGGATCACTATGCAACCTGCAGGAGATAGCAGGCATTTGCACCCACAGGAATCCAAAGTGAAGCCTCAGAGTCGACCCCTGGGCAGCCGCCTTCATTCCTGGGTCCCCTCCCAGAGGGGTATGTGGGGGTCTTGTGGGACAAGGACACGAAGTCCTGTCCAGGCTACTAGGCAAGGACTCAAGGCAGGGAAAGAGGAGGAAGCTATGCAGAAAAACAGAGACCCTGTGCCGGTGTGCATGGACCTGCTGGGGGCCCCTCACTCAGACATTGGAAATAATGGAAAATACAGGGCCTTCTCCTGGACAGCTCCACATACTTCACTTTGAATGACACTTGATGATGCACTTCCTTGTTGCGCTTTTCATGTGTTATCTGATTCTACAACACGTGGGAGGCTGAGCCAGGACTTGCATTGCACCCTGTTCTCCTTAGAGGACCATCTTTTTTCCCCTGAATTTTGCAAAGCAGATACAATTGACATGTGTAGTTACCAATGTCTTTAACATCTGCTGTCCCGAGTAAACAGTCCCTGAGAGGAGCAGATGGTTTGCCCTTGTCTTTTAACCAAAACAGTTGGAATCCAGTGTCGCTGTGGAAGAAAGGCCTGCCAGTGTGCTTCTGTAAAGATTGCAGCCAAGTCAACCCTATGGGGTGGTTCTGCTCTGTGGCACATGGCTTGCTGTGGGTCAGAGTGACTCCATAGAAACAGGTTTGGTTTTTCTTTATTTTTTTCCTATTATTTGTTTAATTTATCCTGTACAAATGCCAGGGCCGGAGGTAGGAGGAGTTGTTCACCCCAATTTCCCAAGGAAACTGAGGCGCAGATAAGAAGTTTGCTTTATGGCTGTGGGATGGTAGCTAGAGGAACTGGGACTTGAACTCAGGTCTAGCCCAACTCTACAACTAGTGACCTTTTGTCTCTGTCCCACAGGATCATGCTCTTGGACCAACAGGTGGACTAACTGTTGAAAAGAGCCGGTTGAAATAATACACCAACTAGACTTGAGTTAGAGTTACCTCAGGGGCGATGGGGTGCAGGCGTGTGATGTGAAGGCAGTGGAGTCCCTGGTTCAGAAGGTTTGACAGGGAGGGTTAACCATTCATCTTCCATGGAGTACTTTGCAGCCCAGGGGACCTGAATTCGGCTCTCAGCTTTGTTCCTAAAACCAGCTCTTGCAGTGTGGGGACCTGACTTGGTCTCTCAGAGCCAAGTTTTAGAAATGTCTGTGCTAGCAGCCAACCACTGCACTGGTGGTGCAGTGGTTAAAACATTCAGCTGCTAAGCAAAAGGTCATTGGTTCGAACCCACTAGCCACTCCACAGAAGAAAGATAAGGCATCTGGTTCCATAAAGATTTACAGCCTTGGAAACCCTTTGGGGCTGTTCTGCTCTGTCACTATGAGTTAGAATCTACCTGATGGCAGTGGGTTGGTGCTAGTGTCGCTGTGGGGATACAGGGAAGTAACAAGTGAGACTCCCGCACCTGGCGGTGGTTCAGGAACCCTGGCTGCTCCTGTCCTTGTGAGCAGGTGTGTGCATTGTTTGATCTGGGAGCCCTCTGCCCCTGATGGAGAAGGAGGCACCTGGCCCTTGCTGGGCTGGGCTCAGAGGAAATGGAGACAGTGTGGAGCCAAGGCAGCAGGTGTGGCTGTGCAAGGCCACTGGGGTTGGCCCTGGACACGTTCCTTTTCCAGTTACCTAGATGCACGCTGACTCCCTCTAGTTCCTGTTTGCTAGAGAGGAAGTCCGTCCTCCTCCAGGGCCCTGGAGGGGGAGGGGGCTGCAGGAACTGATCCTTCAAGGAAGTCAGGAGATGTGTGCTGGGCTGCTGGCCCTGAGGTCCCTGGCCCTTAGGACAAGCTTCTTCTCTGACCATCTGGGCAGGAGCCTGGGGTAGGTGCGGTGGGGCTTTTAGGAAGGCAGGACAGGCTGCTGGAAGAAGGGGTGGCCCAGAGCCTGGGGCCCCAGGTGTGGTCCTTGCTTCCTTCTGCCTTCCTGTAGGTGAGGACCTGGTGGGGCCAGGGCCATGAGGAAGGCTCTGACTGGCTGGAGCCCTCCGAGCCCAGGTCCCAACCTTCGGGAAGTTGTGCCATTTAAGTATGACATCATCTTGGGGTACAGCCCCCGCAGCAGGTCGGTTTCGGGGGTCTGAGGCTTCAGAAGGAGTCCCATAGTCCTGCCACTCACCATCTCAAAGCTCATTCCCTCCTGTGTAAGCGGGGATTGGAATTCCACCTTCAGGGGGTATGCAGAGGCTTCACTGAGGCCACACATGCGAAGTGCAGCCCAGTACCTGCTAAGAGTAAATGGGGTCGATTCAGCCTTTGCTCTTCTGATGATTCTCCTTGAGGGATGGGGGTTCCCCAACCCCAGGACGTCACGGGGCACCAGGAGTGAGGAAGGCTGCAAGCACGCAGGAATGAGGTGTGGCTTGGGCCCAGCCTCCTGGGCCGTGGGGTGAGGTGGGGGGCTGCAGGTCCTACCCCTGCCCTTCCAACTGCACCCTGTGGTCTGGAGGCTGGGGAGATCCGGCCCCCACCCCCCATCAGGGTAATGGAAGCTCTCACTCGAGGGCCCGTTCGGCTCCCTTGCTGCCGTTAAAAGGCGGATCGTGGGGCCCTGGAGCCTCTGGGGCCGGGCTGCTTGCCAGGCTTCTGCAGAAACAGCCGACAGAGCAGTCCTGCCCCCCCACCCCGGCTCGCCCGCGGGGGTGGGGACCACTGCACCGGCCTCATTCCAGCCCCACCTCCCCACACACCTCACCCCACAGCTGGAGGCTCAGGAGGGGCTCGGAGGCTGGGGGTCGGCTTCTTCATGGTCAGAAGGGCAGGCAGCACCCCAGGTGCCCCCTCGGTCTGGGTGCTGGGAAAGCCTGAGCTCTGGGAACCTGGGTGAGGGCCTGGCACTGCCCGGGTGCCTCCCCATGACGTGGGGCCCCTCCCGCCCGCCCCTTCCCCCTGCTGCCCTGCGGAGCTGAGGGTGCCGAGTTCCAGGCAGGAGTGTCTCCCGCACAGCTAGCCAGCCGCCAGCCCTATCGGGAGAGGACGGTGGTGCCGTCTCCCCGGGTAGGGTGCTTCGTAGGGCAGCCTGGAGTCTCCAGGGCACTTGCCGTCTTGGGTTCCGGCCGGAAGAGGCTCGCCTCGGGAGCTGCTGCTTGCCACCTTCCTGGGCCTGGTGTCTCCCTGGCCCGAGGCTGGTCATTTCTCCCTGGGTGGGGCAAGTGCTCAGAAGTCATTAACTCCTGGGGTGCAGGCGGGGAGAGCTCTGCCGGTGGCACCAGGTTCCTGGTTCTTACGCCACCTTCTCTTTGCAGACGCCCTGCTGGCGGACTTGGAGTCCACCACCTCCCACATCTCCAAACGGCCTGTGTTTTTGTCCGAGGAGACCCCCTACTCATACCCAACTGGAAACCACACCTACCAGGAGATTTCTGTGCCACCCCCGGTCCCCCCACCCCCATCCATCGAGGCCCTCAATGGCACCATCCTTGACCCTTTAGACCAGTGGCAGCCCGGCGGCCCCCGATTCATCCATCAGCAGGTAAGATGGGGACTGGCTGGGAAGCTCCCAGAGACCTTAGGGCAAAAGGAGCTCGTCTGGCAGGGGTCTGGGGAGCGATGGGAGGAATGGACTTGGGGACTGGGAGGAGAGGCCCCCACTGGATGCTGTTCTGCCACCTACCACGTGAGGCAGGGTGGGGGCAGTGAACCAGGTCTTAATCACCAGTCTCCCAGCGAGGCTGCGGAAATTCCCTGGTGAGACTGGCTGTGAGCAGGAGCTAGGGGTGACTCGGCCCCTGTTGCTCCGGCGAGGCTCTCTCCCACCCAGCCTTGGCGTTCTCCTTCCTGCAGCCGTTGTCCGCATCACCTCTGTCTGCCTCCAGTGGCCCCACGCCCCAGAGCACCCTCCGCTCTCCGTGCTCCCGAGCAGGCGAGGAGGAGCACGTGTACAGGTGCAGCCCGGCCCCTTCAGGCCCCTGCCCGCCTCCTTGGGCGCCTCCTTGGGTGGTGCTGGGCAGGGCGGGTGGCCAGGGAGCAGGTGGGGCCACTGCCTCAGGGGCCCTTGGGAAGAGAGGTTTCACGCAGAGGCTCCTGGGGAACCCCAGATGCCTCCGATGGCCCATTGCTGCCACCTCCCCGCAGTGGCCGCGCTGCTGGGTGGAGGAGGGCCTGAGGCAAGACTTCCTTCCTCCCCTGTGTCCCGACACAGCCGCTCCCCACTCTGTCCTCTTTTTGGGACAGACTTCTTACCCGCTCCACCTCATTCTCCTGAGAATTTGGGGGCCACCAGTCCAAGGCCGGGGAGCTCCTCTCACTGTCTTTTCCCTGCCTCCCGAAGCTTCCCCAACAAGCAGAAGTCAGCTGAGCCTTCCCCCACCGTGATGAGTTCCTCCCTGGGCAGCAACCTCTCGGAGCTCGACCGCCTGCTGCTGGAGCTAAACGCCGTGCAGCATAACCCCTCCGGCTTCCCTGCAGGTGGGACTGGGTCCCGGGGCGGGGGGCCCGCCAGACCCCCGGGCCCACTGGGTCCTCTGGGTCTCAGAAGACTCCAGGGCTGAGCATTCTCCCCCCACACACACACCAGGTGAGGCCAACTCCAGCCCCCCGCTGCCTGCGGCCCTGAGCCCACACTATGGTATCCCGGAGAACAACAGCCCCCTGGGAGGCAAAGCTGGGCCCCTGACGAAAGAGAAGCCCAAGCGGAATGGTGGTCGGGGCCTGGAGGACGTGAGGCCCAGCGTGGAGAGCCTGTTGGACGAACTGGAGAGCTCTGTGCCCAGCCCTGTGTGAGTGTCCACACGCTGTCCTCAGGCCCCCAGCCCTGTGTGAGTGTCCACACGTTGTCCTCAGGCCAAGGAAGGTGCTGCCCAGCCAGCCCCTGGGCACGGGGCCCCCACACTTACCCTGGTGCACAGATGTCTGGAGCAGGCACTAGGAGGGGATAGCAGGGAGTCACAGGGCACCATCTCTGCCTTCACAGGGCTGTCCCCAGTCAGAAGAGACAGACACTATGCAAGCTGAGAGCACCTGGAGCTTTGTAGTTAATAACAGGCTGTGGAGCCATGCCCTGGGGTTCAAGGCTTGGCTCTACTACTTACTAAGCCTATTAAGTCTTAGTTTTCCCTTCTGGAAAATGGGGTAAGACCCCCTATGTATGAAGGTTAAACCAGTCATACATGTAGCCCTAGGAGTGCTTTCTGGCACACAGCCTGTAACACAGACAGTAAATTGTTAGTCAGCGTTAGTTCTTATTACTGTTGTTATTGTGTGTTGTGAAACAGTCCTCACATCTGTGAACGGTTGTTGTGGAGGAAACACGCAGGGTGTCTTGAACTTTAACCTGGGCAGGACGGTCAGGGATCTTCCTAGGACAGGGACCATGAAGCTGCCTCTCTTCTCACAAGTTAGGTCACCTCAGAGCTCTGTCCCCTGGCTGACAACCTCTCCAATGACAAGTCCCCAGGAGAGAGTGGGGGCTGGTGGGCTTCCCTGACGTTGGGGAAGGTGGGGTGGGTCTCTCTGCGGAAGCGCGGGGCTGCGCCCCAGGGCCCCTGCTGACGCCACGACTGCCCCGTAGCCCCGCGATCACGGTGAACCAGGGCGAGATGAGCAGCCCACAGCGAGTCACCTCCAGCCAGCAGCAGACACGCATCTCGGCCTCCTCGGCCACCCGCGAGCTGGACGAGCTGATGGCCTCACTGTCGGATTTTAAGGTGCACTGTGCCCCCTGCCCTCCATGCTGTGCTCCTGCTCCCCCCCATCCTCCCCTCCCTTGCCTCGGTGTGAGTAGCTGGAACTCGGCCCCTAGCACTTGGTGCCTCAGGCCTGAGTCAAGGCCCCATGTGCTGTGGCCTCACCAGGATACAAGGGCGGGAGGGAGGCCAGGCTGCGTGGGGACTGTGCCGCCCCAGCCACCACTGAAGGCAGGACTGTCCTCAGCAAGGACATTCCTGCCGCCTGGGCGCTCCCAGCCACCCAGAGGCTCAGACAAAGGGCTCTGTGTTGAGGATGCTCTCAGTGGGGGAGGCTGTTCCCTGCTGGGCCTTGTGGGGCCTGGGATCCCGTGCCTGAGAGATCATTTGCCCCGGAGCCCTGTCTCCCATGCTAGCTGTCCTCGACCCGTCCTTATTCTTTCTGCCTCTGGCCTCCTGTGCCCATGGGCCTCCTTGACCACCGTCCCTTCTTCCTCTGCTTGTTCTGTGGGAATCCTCACTCTCAGGCTCCCAGGCCGGTCCTGCATGAGCCACCCTGCCTCTCTGCTTCCGCCTCCCCGGCCCTGCCAGGCCGAGATGTTTTATTTAGAGGAGGCAGTGTCTGCCGGCAGCACCTCCAGGGGGATTGATATTGACAGGACTCTCTGGCGGTTGCTGACTTCAGCCTTCCACGTGGCCTGCTAGAGACCGCTGGGGCCTGACTTAGGGAAGATGAGAAGGGAAATGGGGTCCACATGCCCTTGGCCCTGATGATGCCTTCTAGCTTCCCTGCAGCTGGGGTTTAGTGGCGGAGGGTAGGCGCCTGGCCGGGGGCAGCGTGGAACCCGAGGCTGTGACTCTTGGCTGCTGTGGCTCCAGCTCCCAGTCACAGGGCTTCAGAGCAGCCCCAGTCAGCAGCCAGTAGGTTGGTTCAGGCATTGGTCTCAGAGAGCCCTACCCTGGTGCCCTTATTAAGGCTGTGGTTGCTTCCTGAGATGGACTGGCCGGGGTCCGATGCTCGGGGAGGAGAGACCCTGCTGCTCCTAGCTGTGCCCCAGAGCAAGCCACTGTGTGCAGGAGGAAAGCTGGGGGTGTCTGGAAGGGACACAGGCGAGGCTCGAGGCGAGGTCTGAGCAGAGCAGGGCAGCCGCTTGTGGCTGCCTCTGCTCAGTCTGTGCCCTGAGCTGGCCTCCCTGGTCACCTGTCTCCCCAGCCTTATCCCCTCACCTGTCCACTTCACCCTTCCCTCCCTCCCACCTGCTCTGACTGGTGCTAGGCTAGCTCCACAGACACAGTGTGGCAGCTGCTTTCCGCTGGCTTCATGATGGGAGCCAAGCTTGTGGGCCCCAAGGCAGCAGCCGTCTTTGGGGCCAGTGTATTCTTCAGGGGGCAGTACTCATGCTTAAGCTTCGCAGGTCTCTTGGTTAATGCACATGTGGGCTCTTTGAGCCGCCGCCACCCCTGGGCAAGCCCACCCTGCGTGAGCAGCCTGTCTCAGTCTCACCTCTCCTCCCCTCCCCTCCCTTCTCTTCCACCCCTCTCCCCTCCCTTCTGCCTTTGTCTCTCTCCTTCTCCAGACCAGCTCTTCGGCTGTGGCCCTGAGCTACCAGGGGCCCCTGCCCCTCTCAGCTCCATCCCCATACCACACACTTGCTTCTCCTCCCACACCCTCTGTACCTCTGCCTCCCACCTTTGAACCCTCCCCTCGAGGCTGCGGCCACACCCTGGAGGTCCTGTGCATCGAGGACACTGGCAATGGCCGGGGCCTTCTATCTCCTATGCCCCTCAGTGATCTTGAGGGGACGCCAGATACTCCCAACTCAAGGGCTCCCTCCGCAGAGGGTTCTCTGGGGACGGAGAGCCAGGCTTGTGTTTGGAGGGAACACCTCTTTAGGGACACACAGAACTTCAAGGGTGAGCTCTCCAGGGCTCCTCCGGGCCACTCTCCTCCCCAAGTTGGGTACTTAGGCCCCCAGGAGCCTGGACACACCCAGCCACTGCTGGCCAACACTTTGCGCCCAGAGGAGGCTGTGGCTGTGTGGGCTTTGGAGGCGCCCAGGCCCGAGATTCCCCATGGCACTGCACACACCTTACAGGAAGTAACTGAGCCAGCTGTCGTGGCTGTGGACCGCCACGCCATCTTCCCAGATACGTGGAGTCTACCAGAGGAGCATGGGCTGTGGAAGGAGAAGGCAAGGCCAGAGCCAGGGAGTCCAGAACTGGGCTTCCCTGCACCAGACCCGAAGGAGCAGCCAGGTGGAGAGACCCCCAAGAGGGGAGGCCTGAGCAGCTCAAGCCGGGGACCCGAGATCCCACGGAGCTCAGGGGATGCTGCAGTGGGTGCCGCCACGGCTGCTTCCGAGACCAAGCTGGATCCCACGGAGCTTCCCTGTGTCACGGTCATGGACACACCCACCACCACCAAGAGGATTTCCACCTCTGGCCAGGCAGGCGCTAGCTTGCATGGCTGCTGCGCTTGGTACTCAGCGGACCTGCATGTGGCTGGGTCCTTCCCGCTCCTCCTAACTGCATGCTGCCACCCCTTCATGCATGGCCACTGGGCAGCACGTCCCAGAGTTGTGGCCGCGTCCCTGACCGCCAGGGCTCCGCAGCAGGTTCTGGACCCCAGCCCACCTCCTGCTCGCTGGCGGCTTTCTTCTTTAGAAGGGCTGCCTCTGACATCCTGGTGTGTGTGAAGTGGTTCAAAGCACGAGTTTTGGAATCGGAGACACCTGGATACAAACCATGCCTCCAATATTTGGGCCGCCTCAGTTTTCTCATCTTTAAAATGGGGGTGGTAATAGAATGTTTGCCCCCGAGGTTGTCTGGAGGATGAAGTGAGATCATGCCTGAGAAGTGCCTAGAATACAGCTCAGAGTCCCTCAGGAAGTGACCGCCGATGTTACAATGTTGTTATTGGCTTCTTGCTTGATTACAGTTCATGCCCTTTCAACAATTAAAAAACAAAATAAGATACTATCAACCAAGAGGTTATGTATAAACTGGAAACAGAAGCATTCACGTATGAAAACAAAAACTGGTTAAAAGCTTTACTGGAAGAAAAGACTGCATTTTGTATTACAAATGAAAAAAGGAAAGAAAAGAAAAGAAAAAAACCTCTATTCCTTTTAAGATCTTCCACTTACATCCTCTCAAGCGATTCTTGTGGTAACCCTGTGAGGTAGATCCAGAAGACACTGTTTGTTGCCCTGGTAACCCTGTGATGTAGATCCAGAAGATATTATTGCCCCATTTTCAGGATGGAGAAGCTGAGGCCCCTGGTATTTATATGAGTGTCTTGCCTTGGGTCAATGGTCTCTAAGGCCTGTCCCTGCCTCCACCACCACCTCAGCTTGGCTCTTGTCTGGTGTGTTTCTCCAGCCTCCTCTTCCCCCCTGACCAGGGTGCCTGAGTGTGGACTGAGCAGCCTGGGGCAGGAGCCCCCGAGTGGGCCTGTGACAGCATCCCTCCCCACCCCTCAGATTCGCTCTGTGATCAGGAGGAGCCGGGAGACAGGCCACGCACACCCCATGTCCCGGGAGCCCTCCCCCCGCCGCCGGCTGGACCCTGCCACCCTGAGCAGGACGCCCTCCCAGGAGCGGCTCATCGCAGAGCTGCAGGGTCGGCTGGGCATCCGGCCGGAGGCCGAGGAAGCGGCAGTGGCAGCAGGGCCCTCGGAGGAGGACTGGCTGACCGAGGGCGTCATCATCACTGTGCAGCCGCTCGGGAGGCGGGCTGGGGGGCAGCTTGTGGAAAAGGTAGCAGGGAGGAGGCCAGGGCCACTGGGTGGGGCAGCAGTGCCCAGAGTCCTCCTGGCCCCACCGCTGGCTGGAGGGAAGATGGGTCTTGTGACGGTGGCATCGGCCTCGGTGCTGGGGGGCCTGGGGACGACACCACCTCTCTGCACCCCTGTCCCTGAGCTGCTCTCTTCTGTCCTCCTCACCTCTGTCCCCCCTTTCTTCCCAGGTTGTCTTCCCTCCTGGCTCTCCTGTCCCCCTGAGAAGAACCGTCTCTGTCCTGGCCTCTCCTTCTCCTCCTCCTGTCCCTTTGCTCCAGCATCACAGAGACGCCTCGGCCTGCAGCTCCTCTCCCTTGCCTGGCCTGCCTGCTCCCCCTCCACCGGGACCCTCAGCTCGCACCTGGGGCTCTCCTGGGGTCCAGAGTGTGGGGGACAGTGCCTCCCTCGATGAGGCTGCACAGGGCCCCGCCCTTCCCACCCCTGGGCCCCACACCGTGAGGCCCGCTCTGAGGTCTGTGGCCTGCCAAACCGACGAGGACCCGCTCTTCCCCCCAGTGCAGGCAGGCCTCCCTGGCCCTGGTGCCACCCTCCCTGCCCTTGTCCTGATGCCTGAGCCCTGACATGCATGCTAGCATCCCTGTCCCCTCCACACGCCAGCCCCAGCACAGTGCCACAGTCCTTCCTGAGCTCTGGACCCTGGAGCTTCACGTCACCTGGTGCTCATGCCCCCTCATCGGGGTCAGCGGCCCTCTTGCCCCTCTGTGGGGGTTCCCTTCTATCTGTCCCTTCCCAACAGCCCCTGGGCACTGTCCCAGGCCTGTGTCCAGAGGCCGTTCCGGAACAGAAGCCCGCCTCCCGCCAGCCCAGGCCGGGTGCCTGAAGAGGCCTCTGCCCCTGGTCCCTGCCCACCTGTCCTGGCTGCCGGCCCCGGCTGGATTCCCCCCCTGCCTCTCCCTCTCTCCCTGGACCTCTCTCTACCTTCCTCTCTAGCCTGCTTCTCTCGATTTCCACACTGCCTGTGGGGAGGAACCCTCATTTCTCATCCTGTGCTCCCTTTTGTGAATCATCCCAAAGACAAGGTCTCCTCTTCTTTCTCAACGTTCAAAAATGTTTTCATTCTCTTTTGTGCCCCATTTAAGACCCAGAGCCTGGAGCAGAGAGCGGATGGAGAGCTGTGCTGGGCGGCCAGCTGGGCTCCAGACGGCAGGCAGAGCGGTCAAGGGCGAGACGAGGGAGGGGTCAGTGCCAAGGCTGGGAGCCTAGCTTCCCACGGGTCCTGTTGTCCTCGGGTTTGTTCATCCCGCCAGTACCAAGAGTTCCTCCTCTCGCCAAGGGCCAGTAGCAAGCCCCTCTGTCTGTCCATCTGACGCCCCACCGACTGGCTCTTCATGTCCCCGGAGACGGCAGCTCCTCTGCCTGTCACCTCACCTGTCCAGAAGGGAGAAAAGCCCTCGACGCCACGAGACACCTGCGCCCTGAAGTCCTGACCAGCCCTCTCCTTGTCTTTACAGTTCATGGCCCAGGGGAAGGCGGGGAGCAGCTCTCCCCCCGGGGGCCCCCCGAAGCCCGGAAGCCAGCTCGACAGCATGCTGGGCAGCCTGCAGTCCGACTTGAACAAACTGGGGGTGGCCACGGTTGCCAAAGGGGTCTGCGGGGCCTGCAAGAAACCCATCGCCGGGCAGGTGACTGGGGGTGTGGGTGGTGGGGGCCAGAGGGGGACAGGTGGGCTCGAGGACCTGTGCTTCTTGGCCTGGAACCACATTTTGTGTCCCGCCCCAGGTCGTGACCGCCATGGGGAAGACGTGGCACCCGGAGCACTTTGTCTGCACCCACTGCCAGGAGGAGATCGGGTCCCGGAACTTCTTCGAGAGGGACGGCCAGCCCTACTGTGAGAGGGACTACCACAGCCTGTTCTCGCCACGCTGCTACTACTGCAATGGCCCCATCCTGGATGTGAGTCCTTGGGGGGCATGGTGGGGCGGGGGGCACCTCCAAGGGCCAGCACCCGACCTGCTGCCATTGGGCCTGACTATAGCAACCCGAAAGGACAGAGTAGGACTCTTCAGACCGCCAGCCTTTGTTAGCAGCTGAGGACTTAACCACTGTGCCACCAGCACCAGGGCTCCTTAGCAACTAGGACACTGGGACTCAAACCCAGGCCTGAGCCCAGAGCATATCTCCTGTTCATCAGGCAGCTCCCCTCCCTCCCATCCTGGATTCCCGGGTTAGGAGTGTGATCAGATGACCAGAGGTGAGCACGGATCCCTCGCTCTGTGCTGTGTGATGTTAGGAAGTGCTTAGCCTCTCTGAGCTTAAGTGTCTTTCCTTTTACGTGGAGATCACAGCAGAAGCTGTGCGCTGCACCCCCTGTGAGGGTCCAGGAGACAGTGTTTGGCATGTCATCCCTGAAGAGATCTTCCTTCTTAGTGGCATTAACAGCACAGTACTGCGACTGCCATCTTGGGAGTGGTTGCTCTTCCCCTGGGTGGCTGAGTTGGGGGCCAGTGGCCTTTCCCTAGTCCCCGTCATGGGGTCTGCAGTATGGGGCAAGAGGCTTGGCTCTGACCCCACATGCTCCTTTCACAGAAAGTGGTGACCGCCCTCGACCGGACGTGGCACCCTGAACACTTCTTCTGTGCCCAGTGTGGGGCCTTCTTCGGTCCTGAAGGTACTGACTACCTACCTGTCTCACCCACTACCTCCTGGGAGGGGTGAGGAGGGGAGTCCTTTGATGCTGGAGTCAGGGAGGAGGCTGCATCAAGCCCTAAGTCCGCCCACAACCCCACCCCAGGATTCCATGAGAAAGACGGCAAGGCTTACTGCCGGAAGGATTATTTTGACATGTTTGCACCCAAGTGTGGCGGCTGTGCCCGGGCCATCCTGGAGAACTACATCTCGGCCCTCAACACCTTGTGGCACCCCGAGTGCTTCGTGTGCCGGGTAAGGAGCCCCCCTGCACCCCCATGCGTGGCTGGAGGGGGTGAGCAGCAGCGAGAAGGCAAGGGCCACCTTGGTGTGTGCTCTCAACCCAGAGCGAGGCCTCGTGGGGTGGAGCAGGAGAGCAGGTGAGGGGCAAGGTTCCTCAAGTCCACTAGGTTCTGGGACAGGGCTTGTATGAGGTTGGGATCAGGGAGACATGTTCTCCAGCCCAATCGTGCGAGAGGCCCTGGGGTGGTTGTACCTGGGGAAAGCGAACATGAGAAGTAAATAAGTAATACAGGTATTTTGCAGCCTCAGTAGAAACAGGCGGTGGTGTCCACAGTGTATTCTGGGAGACACCAGGGCCCCACAGGGTAATATTTGGGCTTCAGCAAGGGCAGTCTGATTAATGCATTTGGGAAACACACTGTTCACTGCAGGACTTCTCAGAGCCTTTATACCCAAATGTGCATGCAAGTCTCCAATCTAGGATCTAGGATGCAGACTTTGACCACAGAACCCCTTTGCGGCGCCAGGCTCTTGGGTACCACGACAGCCTTCTGGTTCTGAGCACAGGACTGAGACCAGTGCTTTGACTGCAGGCTGTGTGACCCTGAACTAGTCACTTGTATGCTTCCCTTGCCTCAATCAGGAGAGAGAGAGAAGCATTTAGCACAGCACTCCAGCACTCCGCACACAGGGAATGCTTAGCTAGTAGGCATTCCCGAGGGCCAGGATGTTTCCCGCCCCTGGCCACCCCGTCCCAGCCTGAAGGGACAGCTCACTGAGCCCCCTTCCCGCGCCTCGCCCCTCTTCTGACGGCAGGAGTGCTTCACGCCCTTCGTAAACGGCAGCTTCTTCGAGCATGACGGGCAGCCCTACTGTGAGGTGCACTACCATGAGCGGCGCGGCTCACTCTGCTCTGGCTGCCAGAAGCCCATCACGGGCCGCTGCATCACCGCCATGGCCAAGAAGTTCCACCCGGAGCACTTCGTCTGTGCCTTCTGCCTGAAGCAGCTCAACAAGGGCACCTTCAAGGAGCAGAACGACAAGCCTTACTGTCAGAACTGCTTCCTCAAACTCTTCTGCTAGGCCCCGCCCCGCCCGCCCCCAGCCCCCAGCCCAACTCCCGGCTGCTACTGTGACCCAGAGACCTTCCTGGCCCAGGGGTGAAGGGGCAAAACCCGCCTGAAACTGGAACCCGCGTCCTTGGCTGATGCAGGAGGCGACGGGCCCCAAAGGTGGCACCTGCTCTCCTTCACCCCTGCTGGAGCCTCTCTGGCCCCTCCCTCCACCTGCAGCTCTGCCCAAGCTGGTGTTGACCCACTGGCCCCCCTCCCCGCACACCCTGTGTGTCCCCGAGAACTGGCCTGGCCAAGCCAGCACCCCACACTGGAGCCATCTCTCATTCATCTTTCAGCCGTGGAGCTGGGGGAGGGCAGGCAAGATCAGACGGGGTCTCTTTTTATCCTTATTCCCCCACCCTGACCTAATTATTCTTGTTCTGAAAGTACCGGGGGACACCCAGCTCCCTCCAGTCAACGCCAGCATAAATCCCTCCGTCCATGGGAGGAGCAGCCGCGGGACCATAGAAGGTCCCTTGTCCACCTCCTGCCCTTTCAGTCTCCCCGGGCCTGGGTGACTGCCCCCCACACACCTTGTACCCCAATTTCCCCCTTTCTTAACTGCTTTGGTTCTACTGAGAAAGGCCTCTCCAGCAATAATGTTTTCTAGTCACTTCCTCCGTCTCCGGGGACGGCGTGAGGTGGGGCGCATCACCCCGTGCCTGGACACTGGATTGACTTTGATAGGTTTCTACACTGAGGTTTGAATTCATATCATCCGAGTTGCTTTTACTTCTCTACACAAAATGGTTTTGCAGAGATTTTAAAGATGATCCTTTTTCTATTCTCCTCCTTGCCCGCTGCCACTGTCCCTGTTGGTGATGGTGGCTCCTGGCCGTGGTGCCTGCTTTGTACTGAGAGCCTGGGGTGAGGAAGCAATTTGTATTTGATTTTTTTCTTAGCACAAGCAGGTGAACCGGGAGCAGCTCCGCGACTCCCCTCCTTCCACTTCACGGCTCACCAGGACTGTTTTATGAACTGCTGTATCTTGAAACCCCCTCCTACTGCCCAGGCCAGCAAGCTCTTCAGCTGGCCTGATGGCATCTTGCCCTTTGGGGCCTAGAATTCAGAACCCCATCTGTCCTGTTCCTGGGGGGACGAGAAGGGGGAGGGGCACGTTGGGGTGCTGTTCCCTGTTGGAGTAAGCCATCAGGAGCTTCTGCTCCCCTGTGAACTTTCTGGCGACAGAGAGAACTCACGGTGTTTCCTCAGCCTCCTCACTGCTCCGCTGGGGCTCTTCTGCCTTCTCAGGAAACCTGGCATCTGGCTTTGACCATAAAGGCCTCCTCGGTTCTTGTTGAGCCCACTGGGCGCGTCCCTCCCCAAATGTCCTGCCCTCCCTGGGGCCTTGGGGGCAGGTTGTTCTTTCCAGGTGGGATGGACCCCTGGATGTCTGGGGAGCGGGGCCCTGGTTGTTGCAAGGGGGCCTGCTGGGACCTGGGACAGCGTGACAGGGTCCTGGGCTGACACACAGTTCTCCCTGAGCTGAAACAGGAGCAGGCCAGCCCTTGGGTCTTGGTCAGCAGGAAGGGGCCCCAGAAGGGTCTAAAGTGAGGAAGCTCTAGCCCACTGGCCTCACAGCAGAGGCTAAGTGCCTGGGGTGTCAGAAGACGGCCTCTGCTCCAGGCAGGTCTGCAATTGCCTGCTCTGGGAAGGTCAGCCGGGCTAATGGTCTGGTGTCTCCACCTCTACCCATAGGCCTTATTGATCTGTTTACAGTGACCACCTCAGCCCTCCCCAGAGGGACTGGGGCTTCTGGGACCCACCCTCTGGGTCAATGGTTATATGATGATTTTATTTTATTTTTTTCTCCTATGAACTTCTAACCTGGCTTTCCCTCATTTCAATTCCTGTGATTTCTGCCAATAAAATTTACCATTATTTTCACCTGTGCTAGTGCCTTTTTGTGGTCCGAGACTACAGCTTCTCAATTCTAACGGAGAGATGAAAACCCTCCCCAGACACTCAGGGCTCACCACTTTGGGGTGAACCATTGATAGGTCCTCACTTGAAACAAAAAGCCCAGGGAGAGTGAGTCCTACCTGGGGAGCTTAGCTCTTGGTGAGGTGGGGCAAGGGAGCAGCATTAGTGGGCCCCACGTGGGTCGGTGGCCTTTCATTCATTTACAGATGAGGAAAGAGGTTCCAAGAGTGTACCCCACATGCACAAGGCAGTCCCTACCATGACCACGTTTCCCCTGGGTTGAGCCAGACAACACCTCCCTCAGGCTAGCACAACACAAGTGACCTAGCTGATCCAAGCTGCATCAGACAGTTGAAGATATCACTCTACTGCCCCCACCTGGTCATGTCCATATTGTATGCTGCTGCTTTGCTCTTGCCAAGAGCCAGAACTTTGGGACCCAGGAACTGCTGCTGCTGTCTTCCAGCTCAGCTGTGTTCCACGTGGGCTGCCCTGTTGTTTGGAATGGGTCTGCAGAAGCAGCATGTTGAATTCCAGTCTAAATCTTGACCGCTTCAGAGTGAGCCTAGCTGTGAAAATTACCTTCATCTCTCACCGAAGGAGAAGTATCGGTTTATTCTTTCAGCCCGTGTTAGATTCATTTCTAGAAAGGGGTGTGGCACACTCCACTGTAATTTGCTTTTTCACTCAACTGTACTTTGTGGATGTTGTTGTTGTTGCTGTTATTTGCCGTCGAGTGGGCCCCGACTCATAGCGATCCCTCCTTGGGTTTCCGAGGCAGTATCACTACAGAAGTAGGATTGCCCAACCTTCCTTCCGAGGAGTGGCTGGTGGGTTTGAACCGCCAGCCTTCTGGTTTGCAGTCAAGTGCCTTAGGCACTATGCTACCAGAGCTCCTACTTGTCAATAAATAAAGATCTCTATCATTTTTTAATGGCCTTGTGGTATTCCATTATATCGACGTGCTACAGTTAGCATATTTTTATCGTCAGAGTCAGGACACCCTTGGGAGTTTACCTGTGTTTGTAAACTTGGGCAAATAACTTATCTATGTGAATTTTTCTGTCTGTAAAGTGGGGATACTGATCCTTAACGTTGGAGGACTGTTGCAAAGCTTAACAGAGGTAATATGCATGAAGGACTCTGCTCACTGTTGAGCTCGTAGTAATGCACCCCACACTTCTCAAGCTGGGCTGACATCAGCTGGTTGTTAGCTGCTGCTCAGTTGGAGCAAAACGTTGCCTGGTCCTTCGCTGTCCCCATGATCGGTTGGGGGCTGGACCGTTATGGTCCATGGGGTTTGTATTGAAAAAGATTGCCAGGCCTTTCTTCCTGGTCCATCTTAGTCTGGGAGCTAAGCCTAATCAACATGATAGCAAGCATGTCTTCTCTGAAAGATGGGTGGTCACTGTGCATGAGGTGCATCGGCTGGGAACAGAACCTGGGTCTCCCACGTGGAAGGTGAGAATTCTATTGCCGAACCACCACTGACCCCTCTGAGCCACCGTCGTTAGCTGCCATCAAGTTGAGTGGACTGTGATTCATGGTGACCCTGTGTGTACAGATTAAGAGTTGCTTCATAGGGTTTACAAGGACTTTTCAGGAGTAGATTGCCAGGCCTGTCTTCTGAGGTGTCTCTGGGTGGGTTTGAACAGCCAACATTTTGGCTAGTAGTTGACCACTCATGGGACCCTTCTGCAGATTCGGATCCAGTAGACCTGGGGTAGGACCTGGACATCTGTGTTTTCACAAAGCTCCTGGGGTGATTGTGATATTTAACCAGGTTTGAGAGTTGTTTCTCCTAACAGTAGTATGAAAACATGGCTTCAGAAGTGACTGCACAAAGTGGCATTCTGTAGCAAAATGACACACCAGGAACCAGTGAAGTAAGTGCTCAGTGAATGAATGGATTACAAAAACCTAACAATGACTTCTTGTTGTGTTGTAGCTGTTAGGTGGTGTCAAGTTGTTTTCAACTCATCGCAACCCTGTATACAACAGAACACAACATTGCCTTCTGCACCATCCTTATAATACTTGCCATGTTTGAGCCTACTGTCACAACCATTGTGTGAATCCATCTCCTTAAGGGTCTTTGTTTTTTTTTTTTTTTTTTTTACTAACTCTGTACCTTACCAAGCATGACACCCTTCTCCAGGGATTGGTCCCTTCTGACAACAGAACAGAACTGAAGAGATGTGAAGTCTGGCCATTCTCCCTTCTAAGGAGCACTCCACCTGTACTTCTTCCAAGATGTTTCTTTGTTCTTTTGGCAGTCCATGGTGCATTCAATATTCTCTGCCAACACCACAATTCAAATGCATCAATTCATCTGGGGTCTTTCTTATTCATTGTCTAGGTCTCACATGCATATAAAGCTATTGAAAATACCATGGATTAGGGCAGGAGCACCTTAGTCTTCAAAGTGACATCTTTGTTCTTTAACGCTTTAAAGATGTCTTTTGCAGCAGAGTTTCCCAATGCAGTATGTCATTTAATTTCTTGACTGGTGCTTCCATGGACTTTGACTGTGGATCCAAGTAAAATGAAATCCTTGACAACTTCAGTCTGTTCTCTGTTTATCATGATGTTGCTTATTGGTCCAGTTGTGAGGGAATAGGGAATGGTCCAGGGAGAAGGAATAGCTCGTGCATGCCTCTAGAAAATTGCAAAGAGCATCTTTCGGCTAGAATATAGATGAGAATATAGGGTGTTGGGGGCAGACCATAGAGCCATATAGGCCGTCTAAGTTTTGGGCTTTTGCTGAGTAAATGGGGAAGGGAAGGGTTTTAAGCGGATGAGGCCAAACTCTTAGGTTTTTAAAGAATTCCTCTTATTTGTTGGCGGAAAGAACAAGCTGTAGGGGAGAGATAGTAGAAGGTTTCTGTTTCTAAACTATGTGCCATTATTTCTATGCCCCATCTTACCAACTATCCTCTACTTTGCGATTTGACCAGGCGTCTGCCGACACGCGAACTTCAACTCACCACTTCTTGTCCCTACCGGAAGGCAGCCTGGCCAGCAGAGGGAAGCAGCTCTTACAAA